GAAAGTAATACAGTTACGAAAGAAAAAACTTTAGCTATTGTATCAAAGCATATTACTTTTAATATGCCAGTATATCGATTTGTTGGATTAATTGAACTAAAAGATTGTAGCGCAAATGGAATTATGAAAGAATTAAATGAATTTTTTAAAATTAAAAATCTTTCAGTTTTAACATTAGGTCATTTTGGTAGCGATGGAGCATCAGTTATGTTAGGTAATTAATATAGACTATTATTTATATGTAAAAACTAATTTAGTATAGCTAAAAATATTTTAGCATTACTTTTTTATATAAAATTATTAAAATATTAGTAATTTTGTATTAAAAATTAATACTAAATACTTTTAATTAAACTAAAATAGTATCTATAGCATGTACTACGTATTTATATAATTTTTTATTTATATTTTTAAATATTTAATTTGTAGGTCATTTAAATGGTATCGCAGCACAATTAAAAAGTCAAAATCCATTTATTACAGAACATCATTGCATATCACATCGGTTAGCTCTTGCATATGAAGATGCGGCTGAATCAATTCCATATATACATACATATAACAAAATTGTTGGAAATCTTTATACTTATTTTAGCCGCTCTTATGAACGTATGGAAACTTTAAAAATAGTAGAAAAACTATTAGATGATCCTGATTTACATTTGTTACACATTGTTAAAACTCGTTGGCTTTCTTTATCAAATGTTGTATCAAACTTACATCGCATATTAGATTCTGTTGTTAATGCTTTATTTTTATATTCAAAAACAGAAAAAGTAGCACAATCATTATTAGATTCGATTGATCAAACATTTTATATAACAACAAATTTTTTGGCAGATATTCTTGGAAACTTAAAACGATTGACATTAAGTTTTCAATCAGAACATATTTCTCTTACAGAAATTAAGCTACAAATTGCAACTGTTATTCAAACGATTAATGAAAGTTTTATTGGAACTGAAAATTTTTCACCAACCTGGGCTATCATTTACGTACATATCTTCAAACTAATGATCTTGCTTCAGAAGATATTCCAGATTTTATACAACAATTTGCAATTGCAACAATTGAAAATCTTAATAGACGATTTCCTGATCGTAAAATTTTAAATGCTTTTAGTATTTTTGATCTACAAAATTTATTAGAAAAAGAATCATTATCAGATTATGGAAATGATGAAATTTATATTCTTGCTAATTATTATAGAAAAGAAAAAACTAGTAAAGGTATAGTGTACGATTTATTTAAATTAAAAAAATTATTATTAATTTTATATTTATATAGTATATAATTTAAATTTAGGAATTACATTTTCTTCATTTATTAATGCTGAAGATTTAATTCAAGAGTGGAATTTTGTTCGTATATTACTTAAAAAGTTTGCATCATTAAAGCTTTTAGATGCTTGGAAAGCATTATATCAAAAAATTCCAAATTTTTCTGTTCTTTATCCTAATTCTTATAAAATTGTTGAATTATTTCTTATACTCCCACTTTCTAATGCTGTAATAGAGCGTGTATTTTCACGTCAAAATTTAATCAAAACCAAACTTAGAAATCGAATGAATATTAATACTCTTAATTACCTTTTATCAATTTCTATAAATGGTTTATCAATAGATGAATTTGATTTTGAACGTGCATATGATATTTGGGAAAATTCTTCAAATAGATATATTAGTCAATAAGAATATTATAATATATTGATTTTATAAATAAATATATTAGTTTATAAAATAAATACATATATAAATAATTTTGTAAAATAAAATTACAAATAAGTATATTAATTTTTATATGTGAACATTATTATTCTTAATGTGAACATTATAAAAAAAAATTATGTTCACAAAAATCACTATATTTTTTTTGAATTTCCAACACTGGTCCAGCCTCTTAGTGATCCTCTATCATCTCCACCTTCTTTCTTACTTTCTCAACCTTCTCAACGCTCGCAACCCTTTTCTGCTACTCTTGCTTGTGCTAAAATAAAACTCTGGATCCTTTATAGATTAAATACCAGACAAACTCAAACTATATAATTACTAATCTAGAAATCTAGGTGAGTCATGGCCACCCTAGTTGGTTTAGGCCGCAGATAAATTAGTCTGAGTTTCTTTTCTTGCTATCTTAGGATATAAAGTT